TTGCAAGTGTTTCGTGTGGATGTTGCAAAAGTAGATCGAGATGTTGCACATGTTGCAATGGCTATACACGTATGTGTCAAGCGTATGTTCCTAATGTTTCATCTATTTTAGACGTACGTTGCAAGTGTTTCATCTGCATGTTGCAAAAGTAGATCTGAATGTGGCATATATATACAAGTGTTTCAGGTGTTTTCATACATATGTTGCAAGTGTTTTCATATAGACGTTGCAATGTTTTGCAATAGCTACACACATGCTTTTAAGTTTTTTCTTGTGTTTTGCAAGTGTTTCAGACATATGTTGCAAATGTTTAATTTGTTTTGGTGATATGTTGCAAGTTTTTCATATGAATGTTATAAAGGTAGATCGTATATTGCACATGTTGAATGAGATCCACCACTGGCATTTTAGCCGCTCACTTGTTCTTGGGAGACGCCGTCAATGCGCACGAGTGTGTGGTTGGTCGGTAGGGACAAGGCTTGCGGAAAAGCAGCGAGCACGGAAGCGGGTGCGAGGGAACATGCCAGGAGGCATGGGCGTCCGGACACGCACGTGCGTGCAAACGTCCTTGCGCTAGCATCTCCGTTTCACCATACGCTGTGGTTGTTTTTAGGTTATATAGTTGCAAAGACGCTATATTTTACATCATAAAGTAAATACCCACTATATTTAGATAGGAGAAGATGTAGCGAACCATGCATGACAACTTCAAACGCACTAGTAGTACGGTGGCAAGGCTCCCTATAGTTGTTGCGATTCGGCCGAGGTTCGAACCACGGTCCTTGCACCTTATTCAGGTCTTGTTTGGATTTAATCGTATTCGCATCAATTCATATGTGTTAGGGTTGATTGGAGTAGAATTTAAACTAAATTTTATCTTAATCCACTTCAACACGTATGGATTGATATAAATTCAATAACGTCTGGAATTTCGTCTCCCCGGTGACTCTTAAAAAAAACAACTTCCTAGCACCATATAGACAGGTCATAAATGTCAGTCAATATATAGCAATATGCTTTTCCTATCCGAATCAATCCGCCACAAACAGAATCAAAATTTCAGAAAAAAAAAATTACACCACTCTCCATCATGTGATCCATTCACCCTGAAATCACCCCAGCCCATCCTTTTTCCAATTTTGCGGCTCCGTCCCTCGCTGGACCAGTACGGCTGGACGCTTCGCCTCCTCCTGTCCTCCTCCCCCGGCCCGTCCTCACCCGGTCACCCCATCTCGGGCGCGGCCCCCTCCCAATCTCCGATGGCGCTCCAAGCCCTAAACCCCCACCGGCACGCAGCGGCCGTCTCCCCGGCGCCGTCGCCCGTCCCGCGCCGCGGCCACCCGCCGCCGCAGCCACTCCTGCATCTCCCTCCCCGCCGACGCCTCGCGGCCGGCGCCGCCCGGCCGCGCGCCGTCGCTGCCGCCGTCTCGGGAGCCATCAACGAGGCCAGGAGGCGTGGGGCACCGCAAGGGGGCGGCGGGGAGGACGGGAGGAAGGACACGGACCTCGCCACGCTCGGGAACCTCTGCGTCGATGTCGTGCTCAGCGTGCCCCAGCTCCCGCCAGCGCCGTGGGAGGAGCGGAAGGCCTATATGGAGCGCCTCGCAGCCTCACCGCCCGATCAGGTAGGGTCAGCCGTTCCAAATCGCTGTGGTGTTGTTTACAAAACAGTGTTCCCGAGCTATTTGTTGTTTGGATTTGGCATTAGATACGAACATAGCGTGATGAACCAGAAATGTATTGATCGTTACCTGTGGGATTTTTTATTTGGGGAAGCTTGCTTTGTTTCTGCTTTATGTCATTTTTTAGCTGGGTGGAGAATAGGTTGTGCCTTAACAACTAGATGTTGACGGTTCAATATGGATAAGCTTGTAATCCGTATCTGTTTTTTGTGAGGTTGATCATGATTTCAGAAATCGAGCAGCAAAAACGAGTTGGTAAGCTATATTTTTGGTTGCTAGTTTCTGGCGAGATTCATCTACTTGGGAGAAATGTGGAGAACCGGATTATATATCAGAATGCTGCGAGTGACTTATGCCTAACGCTTCATGAGCCCCACGTAATGCAACATCTGGTTTTTGTATGTTCTGAACATTTTGTATTCTATCACTTTAACAGAAATTTTGGGAGGCTGGTGGAAACTGCAATTTAGCCTTTGCTGCAGCTAGGCTTGGGCTTAGCTGCTCCACTCTGGGTCATGTAGGAGAGGAAATATATGGAAAATTTCTTCTTGATGTGCTCCAAGTGGAGGGCATTAGTGTTGTTGGGATGCTTGAAAATACCAATGCTGCTGCGTGCCGCCAGGCCTATGAAACACTTCTATGCTGGGTTCTTGTAGACCCATTTCAGAAACATGGTTTTTGCAGGTTAGAAAATGCTTTTTGGAACAAAATTCTTATTCATGTTTCATTTACCGTTATGAAATTCATGTCCGTCTAATCCTTTCTTTCTGGTTTAATGTGCCTGGTCATTTATCAGTGTTGCTTTCTTTGCAATGCCAGCCGTGCAGACTTCAGTGAAGAGCCCGCTTTCAATTGGATACGTAAACTCCCAGCAGATATCAGGACAGCTATTCATCACTCCAAAATACTGTTTTGTAATGGCTACGCTTTTGATGAGTTCTTCCCTGATGTGATCGCATCCTCTATCGACTGTGCAATTGATTCGGGAACAGCAGTGTTTTTTGATCCTGGTCCCCGTGGGAAATCTCTCCTACATGGGACCTTGGATGAGCAGAGAACACTTGAGCATGCGCTGAGGCTCAGTGATGTCCTCCTCTTGACATCAGACGAGGTTAGTTGGCATGCATGCTGTAGTTTTAATTTACTAGTCTACTGTAATTTACGCAGGTGCTCTTTATAGAGGAATAATCAATTGGTCATATCCAGCACAACAGATCTCTAGTAGTAATCATTTCTTTATGAGACCAGATTCTCTAGAAAAAGGCCAAGTGAGCTTTCGATGATTTGTGTCTTGTTGTCTCTCTGTGGTCCTATTCTGGTTGGCGAGATCTGAATGATTGTCCGTGTCTGCTTCTCCTTTGTTTTATAAAAAGGATTAACCTATGTTTAAGATAAAATATACTGCAAAACATGGATACTCTTTTTGAAAGAATTCATTGCTGAACTAGGCCTCATTTAGAACACAGTTACTGATTGTTGCAATTCTGCTGTTAGTTTTTCTTGTATTGATGTTCTTGTTTCACAGGCTGAAGCTCTAACCAACATCAGAAACCCAGTTCAGGCTGGGCAAGAATTGCTAAAGAGGGGGATCCGCACAAAGCAGGTTGTCATCAAAATGGGTTCTAAGGGTTCGATAATGGTCACTAAGAACACTATTTCCTGTGCGCCTGCTTTCAAGGTACTCATTGTGCTGATAAATAGCCTTTCATTTGTGTAGTGTGTTGGAAGTAATCAAAGTTACTTTCTGATTTATCGACACTTTGCCTGTCTTCATTAGATCGACGTTTTGGACACAGTTGGATGTGGAGATAGCTTTACTGCTGCTATAGCCTTTGGGTTCCTCCATGACTTGCCAGCGGTCAACACATTAACCCTAGCAAATGCAGTTGGTGCTGCAACCGCCACTTGCTGTGGAGCTGGAAGGAATGTTGCTCGCCTGGATAAAGTACTACAGCTCTTGAGAGAAGCCGATCTCAATGAAGAAGACACATTATGGACTGAGCTGATTGAAGGAAATTCTCTCTGTATGGTCTCAATTCTATCTGGGATGGCAAGAAATGGTTTTAGCGAGCAAATTGTGCATGTTCCTGTTACCAAAGTGGTTTCTGATCTTTTGCCTATGTTAGAAGCAGTGTTGGAGCGAAGCGCTGTCCAGGCTTGATTCCATACTGAATAGTAGATGGTTGTATTCATTTTGTCATTCACATAGATTCTTCTTTTACCTCCACGATCACACGATGTTTTCTGGTGATGAGTAGTTGGAGGCTAGCCTCCAGGTAAAGCTACTTTCTGAACAGAATGTGGTTGCTGAAGCTATTGATAGCTGTACAGCTATGGTCGCGTGGAATGATTGTACCACCTGAAAGTTTTGTTCTAACATGAAAGTGATTTGATGCTACAATGTGTGCCCCTGGCTCAGTAGTTATGTTCTGATGATTGTTGGGATGCTCTGATCGTTGTTGCTTTTGAGGCCGTCCCTTACTAGTGTACTGGCAATGGACTTGGTTTTCTTGAGAATTTCAGGCATTCAGGATGCAAGCAAAAGCATCCTCAACAGAACGTGCCGTCTGTATATGGTCGATGTGAACGTGGTGAATTGCTGGACCTGCATGCGTGCCAGGTCTAGAGTAGGGAGCAAACTCATCTACCATGATCACCAACTAGTTAACTAACCGAACTGATCTCAACAAAACCTGGAGATTATAATTACACTGACAAACTAGCTCCTACAAGTAACAGCCACCACACCCAGATGATACAAGAAATATCCGTTTCTCGGTAGTTAACTATTCCGAGACATCACCGGTGCCTAGGGGTTTTGTCGAATCTCCGAGATGAGTATGTTCTGAGTTCCCATGTGCAAAATCACATCTGGGTGATGCTCTACCACTGCCATTTCTCAAATCTCCGAGCTGGAGCATCATGCTACCATGAAGTTTGCCATCATGCTGCAGTAGCAGTAGCTGCTCAACGATGCCAGAAACTGAAACAAGAGGTTGGGTCAAAATCCTTAGATTGGGAACGAAATTCGATAAAATGATGATGAGACTGAGATTTTCTACTTGCTACTGGAGATTGGAATGAAAAAAAGAATCAAGCAATGCCAACTACTTGTGATAGAGCAGTGAGTGACCAAAAGGTGTCCTATGCGAGTTCAGTGACTTCGAAAAAACTTTGACCGAAATAATGGCCGATCAATGGTTTTGAAGATACTATGTATTTTCATTTTTCACAACTTGTTCTAAGACATTCAAAATAATTCCTCAATGCTAACCGTTAAACTATAAACATTTACCTTCATAGTGATCAATCATGACCTCATAAAACTGTCATGTCCCTTTGGTCTGCCATGATTCTTCGCAGTTCTCGCAAATGGCTAGTTATCTCCTGTATACATTGTACTCCATCACTCCTAACATTAAGAGAACTTAGTATTTGCTTGAGAAAATCCTGATCTGCTTCAAGTGCCTTGAATCTTGCATTAAGGAGAGAAATGTCATGTTTAACGCTTTTCATAGTATGGATGTTTCCATCATCTGAGTGGGAACATGAAGTAACATTCTTTTGCTTCTCAACAGATTCATTCTCATCTTTTTCGTGACTGTGTCTGAGCACGTATTTAACAGATTCCTTCTCATCGTTGTTCTGAGAAGAAATTGATTCACTAATCAAGTCCTCCCGATGCAATGGTGAACTTCCCAGCTCTGAATTTTCTATATACTGGCTACTGCTCATTGAGTGATCACTGAATAGACTGTTCTGTAGAGTATCATTTGCATCACCCATATCAAGTCTATTTGCGGAGGGCATGCCTAGGGTTTCCTCCAATCTGTGCAAGGACTCCAAAATCTTTGCCTTTTCATCTTCAAAATCAAAAATGGTATGCCTCATGAAATCTGAGCCATCCAAGACTCCAAATGTCATAGCTCCATCAGTAGCACCAAATTTTCCAACATCAAATGGTTGGTCATGAAGCTTGCTCTGGTAACCCTCAAGTTCAGCTTCCAGGTCAAGTAATTCTTGCTCCCTTTCTGTCAGCAAGTCATTTAACTTTTCAATTGCTTCCTGGTCATGATCAGCCTGCTCTTCCATCATCCGGAGATACTGCAGTGCTTCCATGTGCATCGAAGCCTTTTCCTCTTGCAATCTGTTGATCATAGCCATCGCCCGCTTGCTGCCACCGCTGAAGCACGCCGTTCTGCCTCGAGCTCCTTATAAAGCATACTCATTTTTTTCCTGTTAAACTCAGCCTGCTGCTTCAAGTGTTCCATGGAACTTTCACCTTCATCTTCACTAGTTGCATTGACATCAAATGGATCCAGATTTGAGTTGTTCCTATCAAGAAATGGTGCCATATCAGTAGCATCATAGTGTCGGTACTCATCAATCTGTGTGCCGCTTCTGGGGCTAGAAGTCATCTCATTCAAAGAGCCATCAAATCCTCGTGCAGTAGACAATTGTGACAGAAATGTCTTCACTTCTTCATTTGTTTTTGAGTAGGTGTCCCTGGCTGAGATTATTTCAGATAAACGAGGAGATTTAAGGTAGCCTCTGCTTGCAGAAGCATTTTTCATGCTGTTGTTCCAGCTGACATGAGTGTCTGCACTTGAGCTTGTTCCAGCATTCGTAGAAGCAGCAAAATCCTTTGCAGCTTCCACATCAGGGCTTCCTGAAACACCCTCAAAAGAATCACCAACTTCCTCAATACCAACAAGAAAAGCTACAATGCAAATTTGACATACTCAGAAATAGTTCAAGTTAGATAAGGATGACAACGTATTAGAAAACATACATACTTTTCTTTTTTGGGAGCTCTGCTGAAACTTGTTCAGGAATAGCCTCCGACTGCATGTCGATACTGTTGTCACTTGCCTTGATTTGACTCCAGTTGATATCATCCAAACCATGCCCAATAGCACGATCCATAGATTTTGCAACCTTGGTATCACTAGACTGACTGTCAGTATCTCTTGTAGTATTCAGCGGTTGCATGGGCTTTGTCATAGCAGTATTATCAGAAGGAAGCATCGACAAGCCACTGGCATTGGCGATCGTTGGTTGCAGCTGCACATCGCGACTTGACATGTGATTGGCTCTTTCTCTAGCTTCATGAGGTACTGCATTGCTCTCATCGTCATCACTATCTGAGATGTGAATCTCAGATTCAGATTCGTAGCCAACCTTCAGTTCTCTGTATCCTTCATATGGCAAGTGATCAGAGCCGTCATCTGAAGAATGCCCAACACTAGGCATGGCTATGCTTCTTTGTTTTAATTTGCTCATATCATCATCTGGAAACCTGCTATTTGCTATGTCAGGTAGCATGTGTGAATCTCGTTTCTTCTTGAACCGCACTGAACAACAAGAGCACAGCTGTTTGTGTCTAGATCTCGACCAAGACTTCACCTTATCCCTAGCATTGATGTTTGTCAGGTTACAGGTCTTACCACCTGAGGTAGTGCAAGAAAGCAGGCACCTATCACACATATCATCAGAGCGCTCAAGCTTGTTGTGACTCTGGCAATACGATAAACGTGATATTTCCAGCCTGTGTGCAGCACAAACTAGTTCTTCAGAGAACCAGGCCTTGCCATGTAGAAACCGATCCAATCTCGAGCACAGCATACACGGTGACGGAGGCTGCACATGCGTGCGAACCTTGTAGCCATATATGACAACACGGCGGTGCATAGCGAGCATTATGATCAAACAGCACTCGCTGATGGCATGGCGAAGCACAGGCCAGAATTGCCGTGAAAAGTTCCGCTGACCTTACACGAGCTAATGAAGCCAGCCATGGAAAGCTGAACACACCCCAATACGCATGTAGGTTGCTGTGAAATCTTTTTTTTCTACGAAGTTCCCATCAGTGAGGCACAAAGATACTAAAATCACACCACATTGTTGATGAAGAACGAGCAGTGTTAGAATCTTGATCACCCATGCCAATCTGTGTTTCCAAAAGAGAGAACTTCCACAGGCAAACTTCACCAATGCAGCAAGAGGCAGCAAGTGTCCTCGCAAAATTTAGCAATGCAGAAGAAGCTGCAATTACTAGGTTGCTCTGAATCGCATGCCAGGGTTCAAACGAATAGATAGATCGCCAATTGATCACAGGATACGATCTTTCCTGCAAAATAGTTGCATAAATGTACAATCTTTTTAGCAATTGTAAATGTAACATTTAGGGTTTCACATTCGCACCAGATTGTTCAGATTTGAAGGGTAATTCATTTCGGAACATACCAGCGCTGCAGATCTTCGATCAAGAAGCTGGATTTCCCTAAATCACCGATTTGGCAACATAATGGAGGCAAAGGACGAGAGCGATACAGTGGAATTGAACCAAAAGGTCCAGAAGTGTGGGGAAAAAATCCCGAGAAATTGGGGGAAAAAGTTTCTGGCTGCAAAGAGGAGGCAAAATGGTTCCCCCTCTCTCGGTGTAGGATTCCGGAGGAGAGAGAGAGAGGGAACAGATGCCCGCCGTCTCCTCCCTAAACCCCGCATTTCTCTCTCTAGCCTTTGCATGTAACTTGAGGTTGAGAGATTTAAGTATGACCTCTCGTTACAATGGGGAAGAAGACCACCAAAAGCTGAAGAAAGAAAGCAAAAGAATGTGTAGTGGAAATCGAATCGACATAGTTTGTGATGTTAAAAGACTTATGTTCATTGAAATCATTTACCGAAATATTTGGCTCTACAGCATGGTGATACTTCCTGGAACTGCAGTAACTATTGGTGCTACTTTGAGTATGTGACAGGCTTTACTGGATTTTTGTTTACTGTTTCATGCAAAAAAAAATCTTCCAAAATGCAATTTGGTTCACTCAAGTTTGTTCCGAAGCTGCCTATTTGGACTATATTTATAATCATAAAAAAATATTTTCATAATACAAAAGTACTTACTTTAAGACTATATATACTTGTGTAAGTATTGTTCCCCTTTTCTTTAAGTTGGTTGGCGTATTTCATTTTATCAGAACATTACCTTTGACCAACAATTTCTTTTTGACCTCCAACTTACACAGCAATCAAATTTTCAACCTTAAACTATAAAACGACAAGATATCCTACAACTGTTAAGATCGGGACGAAACACCACAGCAAACATGTGCAAAGTGGTTTCCAGGTGGTTTCTATTTCCTATAAATAATAAGAACATATTTTTATTTTAAAATCCTAACTAATTTATTAAATCATAAAAATAGGGATTTTGTACCATTTTTATAAAAAATCTATTTAGACTCTACTTTATGCTACTTACATGACTAGTTGATTACTTGAAGTTTGAGACACTGCCTTAGCAGTTGACATATGCAATGTGGAAATAGGATCTATATATGTGGTGGAGCATGGCTTCTTGTATTCTTTCACATCTTTCAATGTACTCATATTCTGCAAGATCCCTTGGTTGATCTAGGTATGGTGCAAAACGATAATTTAAATAAATAATGAGCACGTCTGTGAGCAATAAAACAATAGGAATGTAAATAAATAAGTTTCAATAGATCATCAACAAATAGAAAATGTTAGTTTTGTATTTTTCTATTTTAAAATAAATTAGTTATCATTTTTAAAGATTAAATCATATTTCTATTTTTTAAATAGATAGAAAACCTCCTTTGAAACCACTTTCCATAGGCTTGGGGTGGTGCTCCATTCAGTCTCAACAGTTGCAGAGTGTTCAGTACCAGTTTCATAGTTTAGGATTGAAAATTGGTGAAAATCTGAGGTTGAAAAGGATTTTACCCTTTTTAAAAACAAAATGTTATTATATTTTTATGAAAAATAGATATGATGATGATTTTTTATCACGTAAATAGCATAGTAATAAACTATTTCTAGTACATAGATGACATATTAATAGATTAATTGTTGGTCAAAATCTTGTCCTAATGAAACAAAATGTGCCTAGTAATTTCAAATGGAGATAGCAAAGTTTAGGCCTCATTTATGTACCCTTTATTTTGTAAGTATTGTATATAATTCCAATTTTCTTTTTAAAGAACTTTATAGTCGAGCTTATAAGGTAATTTTTTTGAATAGGGCATCCGTCCACCCGGACGCTCCCGCTGGTGGGCCACGACGCCGGCCCAAATAACCCTCTCTTATCCGTTCGTCGCCACAGTTTCTAAAAAAACCACCTCAACGGAGCTCGCCCACGCATAGCGCACACTCCACCAGAGTAGCTCGCGGCGGCCGGCTGGGGCGGAGGCTGCCTGCACTCATCTTGCCCGGGGCGGAGGCTGCCCAGCTCGCCCGCGTGCAGCTCACGGCAGTCTCCGCCCGCGCACATCTCGTGCTCGCCTGCCTAGCTCGCTGTGGCTGGGGCGGAACTCACCCGTGCGTAGCTCGCGACGACCGAGATGGAACTCGCTCACGCACATCTCGCAGCGGACCTCACCCGTGCACAGCTCGTGCTCCACCCCCATATTGTGGAGACCCGCCATGGCCTTCTCCACCATACCTGCCATGGCCTTCTCCACCAGAGCGGCAAGCTCCGCACCGGCAAGCTCTACACTGGCGAACTCCACACACCGACGAGTCTCCATTCTCCTAAGCAACAAGGAGATGTTGCATTGAAACCGAATGTTGCATGCATGCGTATATTTCAAGTGTTTCAGATGTTTTAGAGGCATGTTGCAAGTGTTTTATATGGATGTTGTAAAAGTAGATCTAGATGCTGCACATGTTGCAATGGTTGTATATGTATGTTGTAAGCGTCTGTTTCAAATGTTTCGTTTATTTTTTCAGACGTATGTTGCAAGTGTGCTTATTTGGATGTTGCATATGTTTCACATATATTTACAAGTGTTTTATCTAAATGATGCATATGTTTTGCAATGGCTTTTTCAAGTGTTTTCATCTGTTTTTTGCAAGTGTTTCATACGCATGTTTTAAGTGTTTCATCTGTCTTTAGACGCATGTTGCAAATGTTTCATCTCGATGTTTCAAAAGTAGATCGGTGTTGTTCTTTGGGACCCCCCTGCGTGTCTGCTTTGTAGGCTGCTAGGCGTCATTGGCCTTGAGCAGCACATCCGAACACGGGTAGTGGAGGGGCACGAGCAGTCCCACTTATAGGGTCGGCGGCGAGGGCCCAGCGTGAGCCACGTGAAACAAAGTGCAAGCGCGGGCGTCTGGACACGCTAGCACTGCCGTTATATAAACTCAATTGGCAATAGCTTAACTTATAAGTCAGATAATCGAGACCCCTCTACCTTATAAAATCCTGTAAGCTACTTAGACTAGATTGTTTTAGCTCATTTCAAACTTTATCTTCCATGCCTAAGTCAATGGCAAACAAACATTTTCTTAGAAAATTTGACATGAAACAAACCTAGCTTACCATTTGGACCCACGCTGTGCGCCTGTGCCCATATACAGAATCTATCTTGCCATTTGGAAGGTTGTTTTGGCTTCCTCCACAGCCTTCCAGGCTTACTGCTCGCTAAATCCCATCCCTACACAAATCAAGAACCCTCCATGAGTCCCTGTCATACAAGGAGCTGAGCCAGCCAAAGCCTAGCATTGCTATTCCATCATTCACACACTGCTATCTCCTTGTGCAGAACCAAAAAGCAAAAACTCTCCACCAAAGCCTGGCATTGCTATCCTATCATTCACACAGCTATATATCTCTTTTTAATTTGTACAGAACCAAAAAAAAAAGCATGCAAGTAATTAGTTCCAGGGTAAGAATTATCATTACAGGTTGTTTCACCTTTCTTTTCACCGCATCTCCTACCACCTGTTTGCTCTAGTCTTTCACACAGCCCCACAAGAAGAAAAGCTCTCTTTGCTGCAGGCGATGGAGTTTCTTCAGCGCTAAGCTTGGAATCAAAACAACTGGGTAGCAGCATGCAGCAGGCAGGGGCGCAAGGGCCATGCAGCCCAGCGCGTGGATGCAGTACGTGCAAAGCAAAAGAAATCCTTTGCTTGGGAATAAAATCATGTACCTTGCATGCACCTTCAATTCGTTGTCAAACAAACAAAGTTCAGCCTTTTTCAGATGACGCTCTTCTTAATCTTCATTAAAACGTTCTGCTAGCACGACTACACGACCATATGTCTTAGGAGATGTAGATTGTTTGTCATCGTCTTGACTGGCGGCTAAGATACAGAGTCATGAACTCATGATGGTTTTGACGACGACGTATTCATGTCGGGATAGATGCGTGGCTATAAAACGTTCTGAGAGGTGAGGTAGTTTGACTCTGATGAACTAGATCGTGATCAGCATGCTAAATTAGGAT